TTGAACCTCCTATACAATTGGGAACAAGAGTATCCAGTAATTATCTATTAGAACAAATAAAAGAAAATGGCTTTTAATGTAGCCTAAATTATGATAGCACTCATTTCTTTAGTGAAGACAATTGTAGAATGAGTCACGATTGCTTTTGACCTACTATAGTCGACACAAAGAAGCAAGCACCCTGTATTGATTGACTAAGGAGTTACCTAGTGGATCTGCTGTCATGCCTGTCTCTTAAAAGGAAAGAATGGAAAACAAATGTATTGCAGAGCCCTGCTGGTCACTGTCATCAGGATCACATAATGGACTTTTGACATTGCTATTGAGAAAACACTGAGCAGGATCAGTCTCCTGAACTGTGTACCTGGCAGCAGTCAGTCCCAGCTGTGTGCCTGCATAAATTCCTTGTGTGTCTGTAAGTGGGAGCTCTTCTTATACCTGTATGGGGCTTGCCTTCACTACAGCCTTCTGGTTTTATTTTGAGTGATTCCATTGACTTGGACCCACACGCTTTCACAAGCTCCTTACTTGTGTGGTGGTGCAAATAACAGAGGTTAGTGTGCAGGACACAAGTTATAGGGCTGGCTTAGTGTAAGGTCACCGTATCAGCTGCTAATATGATCTCTCCGTAGTGCTGACATGAGCTAGCTACATGACACAACAGCTGAAGGTTTTCCCAATTCCTCTTCATCATCCCGAAATAGCAGCTTACCTCCTGCTGGTGGAGTTTAGAAGTTCCACACGCTGACATGCAAGGTGTTCAGAAACTACCATGACAAGTGCAGTTTTGAGCCCCAAGTCTATTTTCTTACATAGCGCGCTATTCCACTGTGGAACCAATTATATTCTTGGTGTATCCTAAGCAAACATTTGCTCATATTTCAGATTGCAACTGTCTCCATCTAGTCCAGTCTTTTCTAAAACACACCTCTAGTTTGTATTGATTGATTTATGCCAACAGTTCATTGCAATTTCTGGTTTGGGGTATTAAGCAAGACATCAAAACTCATCTTAAGCAAAAGTAAAAGACATATAAAAATACCAGTATGTTATTGCAGTGTTGAGAACTATTTCTGAAGGGTATGGATAGACTCCAAAATTTGGTGTCACCCATTCATATCCTCTAAGAAGCCAGGTCCAATAGTGTAGGACTGTACAGATATATGAGGCAGGCCGTAGGACTCTCATACTTGCTGGGAGTTCATCAGAAATAATGAAGGAGTTGAGGGAACTTCTTTACTACTTATAAATTACTGTTTGATTATATTTTAGAGAGAATGCTAAAGATTAGCCAAATGTTCTCTAAACGTTATCTTTTAGAGAACATTTTTTTCCCCTAAAAAATTAGTCATTTTCCCTAATAGTTAACAGCAACTATTAGGGAAAAATGACTTAAAAATGAATGATGTCACAGTATAATAAATAAATGGAAATAGTGGAGCGATGGTGTAGCTGTGAGGGCATGCAATTTTCCCATTTGCCACCAGAGGGAGCGATGTACTTATTCAATCCAGATAGGATTCAACAGGTTATAATCAAGTTGCTCAGTCTTTCCCACCCCTGTATTTCCTTTTATTTTTTTTACTATCACAAACATTCCCACACAATTTAGGATCCTCCTAATCTGTCAGTGGAAAATTAATACAAGCTCTTTGTTGCCTTTTCTATGAAGATGCAGCCTATGTAATGTGAGAATAATATCTGCAAATACTTTGCTTTGCAGGATGTTCTGAGATCAAAAGTAAAGTGACCTCAAAGTCGTTTTTTTAAACTAACTTCTCCATCCACTCTGTTCTCTGTGATGTGCCGGGTGTGCGGTACTAACATTCATCCTGTCAGTCTTAGCTAATTATGGATATGGACTGATTAAACATTCCTCCAGAGCTAGAAGGACAGAATTTGCCATGTGTCAGCTGTTCCATGGCAATTGTTTAGTGCGATGGTGTTCACCTTGTTGGCCTTGTGTGCGTGGTTGGTTTGCGGGCTGGATCTGAACTGCGCTGTCCCTGCCTAGCCTCATCTGCCAGGATTGGGGCCCTGCGACCCTGTGCCAGCTCTGTGCACAGGAATTGGAACTCCACACTACCTCTGACCAGCTCCACATGTGGGGATCAGGGGATGGGGGCCTGTGCCACCTCATCCCAGCCTTGCAGCTGGGGATTGGGCTCCAGAACTCGTACCACCTCTGCTGGGCTCCGTGCCCCAGGATCAGGCTCTGCACCACCCTGGGCACCAGATCTACTGTGCAGGGCCCATCACGTCGGGGGTTTCCCACAGACCTGCGGACCAGATGACAAGGTGCCAGGGGCCAGATCTGCCTGTGGAGTGGGGGTGAGCACCTCTGTTTTAGTGTGTGCGCTCTGTTCCTCAAACTCGAAGCTAAACACACGCATTTTACCTCTGAACAAACCTGATAATTACTGCAGTTTAGCTTCTGCTTGCCACAGGATATGGCAGACGCACTCAACAGTTACAGCAGTTCCTCCTTTGAATGCACCATCATTGTTTTATCTGACTGTACCCCAAGATTCAAGGACCCCTTTTCTACCTCCTCCTGATATATCCTTCCCATACTTTGACTTTCTTTTACATACATTAGACCTTTCGATCATCATTCAGCTACTTAAGAAAAACTGTCCCTTCATCCTTTTCCTTCTGTTCAGTTGGTTTCTCTGTCTCTCTCTGTCAACAACATCTTGCTCCCTGGCACCGCTCTAACCGTTCTTGCACCTGTCCCTATCCAGCCTCTTAAACAAACCTCTTTCGGCCTGGTAACTCTCCTGATGGCCTCATCCCTTCCACAGCAAGGAGGAATGTGCCCATCATTTCTTATACATCAGGGCCTTTAATGGCTTCCCAACTAGTGCTTTTGCTCTGCAGTCAATGACTCCCTTCTCTGTCCTCTGCCATTTTCTCTGACACTATCTTTTTCACCTTTCCCTTCCCCCTGCATGGCTATTTCAGAGGTCTGCACTCCTCCTACACAGGCTTGTAACCCTATGTAGCTCTGTACCTATTGTCTCCAGTGGCGGCTACACCTCTTTACCAAAACCCTTCCCTCTTGACATCCACAAAGGTTCGTTCTTGGCTCTTCACTTCTTCTACGTTGTCGTTTTATCCCTTCCTCTTACCTCTAACCCTCTTTGTGCCACTGATAGTCAATTAGACATATTCTGGCATGTGTAAGGGCCTGATAAGCAAGTACCTATGCAGGTGTCTATATGGCACAAGGCAATGCTGTGTTATGACCATCACACCAACTCCTGAGTGGGAAATACTGTAACCATGTGAGCATGGGTCTGTACACATCACTAAACTCTATGGAGAGGCTGCCCAATGTACTTCTTTCTCCAGGAGTCACTTTCTGCATGTGAGCAATTCCATTTAATGTAGAGGGGAAGCTCACATCTGTAAATGGCTGCAGCATTTGGGACTAAAGTTGCATTATTGGGTTTTGGTTGGCTCAGCAGTGAGCAAGAACAAAGTTCTCACACTTGCTTGTCTCTGTCATGTTTGTTTCTTTGTGCATACTCCTGCTTGCAATCCAGTGCTATGTTCTTTTTGGGGGGTACTCATAAAAAGTTTTGACCCTTCTTTAGTAGCTTCTTAGATCCCTGCAAGAAATCCCTTTCGATTCTCAGTTTTATCTCTCTCGCTTACAAGCGAAGGAAAACTAGAAAGAACTCCAGGCCCCTTTGTACTGATCCAGTCAAGTGCTCCTGGCACGATCAATCTTTAGACAAACATGCTGACATAGAAAGTAGCAACCTATTGAGGAGAACCCAAAAGTAAATTAAACAGGGACTCATGGCAGCTAACCATCTGGCTAGTTGGAATGGAAAGTGCTCTGCACATCTGGGGCTAAACAGACGTTTTAAGTTTGTCAGCCAAAAACATAGGAAGCCCTTTTTTAAATGGTCTAAGAGCAGGATCTAACCAAAGAAACATGGCAAAAGTGTAGTATGGTAGTCCCATGAGCTAATTTTTCTTCTTACGATGGCCAGAGCTGAAATAGGTGCCTCACATTAGCAAAAGACAGACAAGATCCCAAGTCCTAGGAGCTTTCCACCTATTAGTAAACAACTTGTAAAGAAAGAATAACAGCCCAAAATTGGGAAGCGGGGGGCAATAAGGGAAAACAGGGGCAACCTGCATTGTTAAAAGAGTGTGGTATTGTAGGGGTCTGTATTGGTCTCAATGTGGATTTAACGTGCCCCATGCACAGCATGAATTCGGTCCTTTGTCTCCACACCATGAATAAAATACTGACATCTCACTCTCCAGGAATTTGCTGCTGTCTTTTATCAAGGGACCCACGTGTTTCATAGACGATGGTGCTCCATCGTCTGCAGTTGCACTTTCGAAGAGACCAGCTCCAATTGATTCTCTCACTACTGGATCACAGCCCACTGTCCTAAGATTCAAGCGGTGGGTTTAAATTTGTCTACCTAAAATGAACCCCCTCTCAGAGATTAAGCATCTGAGTTTTGAACATTTCTTACACAGCAAAAATGCTGAGAGGCCAGGCTAGCCGGTGAGGGGTAAAGTTTTCCCTTACTATTCTTGTGGCACAGTGTAATATTCAAGGAGCTGTGCAAACTGGATCTGTAAGATACTACATAGGCAGGCAAGGTACTTTGGGTAGATGTGATATTTTTTATTAGACCAACTGAGTAGCTGGAAAAAAGTTCTTGGTAAGCTTTTGGGCGCAGTCACCTTTTGTCAGGCATAGGGAGTCTATATCTATGTACGTTGCCTATAGTTGCTTTGATACCAGCTGCTTTGGAGCTAACATTTCTGCCATTTTAAGCACGTGGTTAGGCCTTTTAGCTGGATCATCCTTATGCCTGGGTGTGATGGAGAGCCTGGGGTGCTCTGCCACTTTACGAGAGAAGCAGCCCAGGGAGAGCCCTGCAGGACAGGTAGGTTGCAGCTGGGATCGGGTTGCCGTAAAGATGAGCTAATGAGGTTAATTAGCAGGCACCTGAAAGCAACCCAGGGGAATTACTTGACCAGAAAGGGACAGGGTCCTGGGACACATGAGCCAGGATAGGCAAGCTGGTCATGGAGGCTGCAAAGGTAAGAGATCTCCAGAGGTGCCTGTGACTGAGCGTGCTAGCTCCTGAGATAGCTAGCGAAGTTGAAGGCTAGCAGCTGATTAAGACCTGGGGTTGGGTAGTAGTCTTGTTATTGCCAGAAGGGTTTGTGTTTGGTTTCAGTTTGGCCTAGTGCCCAGGGGAAGACTAGAGGGGACTCAACGACTGAAGGAAGACCTGGTGGTTTGGAAGGACTGAAAGGGCTATATTGGAGGTCCCATAGCACCTGTGGGGCATGCGCCAGTCCCATAGTGCCCAGAGGGGCAATCCTATAGAGCCTGCAAGGGGCAATTATATTAGCACCTGAGAGGCACAGACTGGGGGGCAGAGGGCCCAGAACCCAAGAGGGACAAGACTTGGACTTGGGGGCCAGAGAGCCCAAAGCTTGGAGCAGGGCAGAGATGGAGCCTGGGACCCACATACTGAGAGAGGGGGACACTAGGGAGGCTCAGTGCCTGACTGGGCATAGACAAAACCCTTGGAAGGCTACCCAAAAAATTGGGAACCCTTAAGTTTGGTTTGGTCAGTAGACTACAGCTAGCAGGCTCAGTGAGAGCAAGAAGGATGGATGCTAAGAAGGCTGAAGCTCAACAAGGGAACAATGGTAGGCTCATTCTAGGTCCCTCAGGTAGCCTCCCTCCTTTCCAAATAATAGCATGGAAGGTGTGATGGATGAGTAAAAGAGGTGAGAACCCCTAGTTTGAGCCAGGGCATGCATTGCGTGGCCACCAGTGAGCCTTGCAGCCACCCTGGGACCCAAAGCTGTCTCGCTGAGTATATTGGGAACAGTGTACATGGGCCTAGCTGATATGGGGTGGGCAAGCAGTGAACTAGAATAAATCAGGCTTTGCTTTTTGTGCAAAACATAACTATTATGGCTGTTTCCTTGTCCACCTGCATCTACTTGCCTAGAGCGGGATGGGGGGCTGGACCTGATGATCTGCAAGGTCTCTTCCAGCCCCTAACATCTATGAATCTACCTTCTGCTTCCTTCACTGGTTGTTTATTGTTTCAACCTTAGTTATGAGTCCTTTAGTAGCAAGACCTAACAGAACAAGGAGCAATGGTCTTGAGTTGCAGCAAAGGAAATCGAGGTTAGATATTAGGAAAAAGTCTCTCACTAGGAGGGGAGTAAAGTACTGGAACAGGTTATCCAGAGAGGTGGTTGTGGAATCTCGATCCTTGGAGGTTTTTAAGACCTGGCTAGACAAAGCCATGGGTGGGATGAGAGAGTTGGGGATAGACCTGCTTTGAGTAGTTTGAGGGTTGGCATAGATGACCTCCTGAGGTCCCTTTCAACCCTAACTTTCTATGATTCTTAATACTGCTTTTAACTCACTGGGGCCCTGGTACTTTACAAACATAAGTAATAGCTAGAATAGTAATAAACAGCTTCTCGGTCTCAAAATAGATATTTTTTGTTTGTTTGTTTGTTTAAGCTTGGCTGTAACAAGTGATAATACAGTAGATAAAACTATTGATGTAGTTGAGCAGCTGGATGTATTTAATATCTTCTGCTTGGTCCATACTCATACCGACAGACCTTCTATGTAGGTGTTGATGGAATCCCCTACACCAGGGGTGCTCAACCTTCAGCCCAGATGGTTCTCAGTTTGGCCATCTGTAATAGTACTGACCCATCTCAGAAGGGAAGGAAGATGCCATGGAAGTGAAAGGAAATATTGTTGATATAATTTAATGTATTATATAGCCTATATCAGGGGTGGGCAAAATGCGAGCCGGATGCGGCCTGCCAGGCCGTTCTATCCAGTCCGTGGGGCCTCTAAAAAGTTTAGAAAATGAATACTTATCTGCCTCTGGCTGCCTGTCATGCAGCCCTCGATGGCTTGCCAAAACTCAATAAATGGCCGTCTGCCCAAAATAATTGCCTGCCTCTGGCCTATATAAACATGAGAGCCAAAGCATGGGTAGCCTTTGCGAAGAGCTTGTAGAAGAGAGAGAGAACTCTGGCCACAATAAACTGCACATCCCCTAGTTCAGTATAGTCCCACCCCATCCCTTCCCACTTTATTCAGGGGTAAAACCGGTTGCAGAATAAGAAGCCATCCACAAGCTCTGTTGTTCTTCAGTGTGACTTGTAAAAGAAGTTGGTCTACACAGTGGCACATTACTTGTGTGTGCTATAAAGAGAGCAATCCTGGGATGTTGAGCAGGGTTAGACATGGAGTGAGTGCTCTAAGGAAAACTAGGTCAGAATATGTCCATCTGGAGGCAGAGGTAGACGTCTGTACGTGCCAGTACCCTCTCCATGCGGATGCTTCACAGGGCTGTTTGGGATGTTCTCCTAAGCTGAGCATCTGGGCCCTTGCCTTGTATTTATTCAAGTCAGTGGCAGATTGCATACTGAAGGGAATACTGTAGAACAACGCTACCAGCTGTGATGGGGGCAAGCCGCAAGTCCCTGTTATGTACAGTGGCTGCTCTGGAATTCGGCTTTGGGAAAGAGCTGAGAGGATGCTTCCCATAATGACGACAAGGTGGAAAAGAGATTTTAGTTGGTGCCAGGCTTGGCAGAGCACCTTTGGCATCGTTACTGAATGATGGTGGGACTTTGTGATAGTATTCATGATATGCCAGGGTGCCTAGATTTGTATTTGTTGCTTATTACATTTAAATTTGAACAAATAGAAGCAGAATTTGATTGCAACAATAACCTCCGGCTGGGACTGGGGCTGCAACCATAACCTCTGGCTGGCCTTGGACAGTGACTTCATCTCCCATTGCTTCTACATGAAGGATCAAGCCCTTGGCTATCTGCACCTCACTTGCACAGTCTGGCTTGAAGAGCTTCCTCAATACCATAATTAGCCAAAATTACTCTCGGGGAAAATATAACCGTAACAAAAACTTACTATCTCTCTTTTAAAACGATTTAACTATTACAAAACTGAAGCTGCTGGTCCAAGGGCTTTGCAAAGTTGAATCCACTCCAAAGGTGTTTGGATCAAGTTTATTAAACCATTTTTATTCACATGGATCTATAGACATACAAAAACCTGTACATGTGGATAAAAGGGTCTAGTCCCAATGCTGAGGAGCCTGCAAATTTGAAAGTAAAACACAATCAAAATGGAAACAAACTTCTGGGGATGAAGTAAGGAGAAGGGGTAAAGAGGAAGAATACAGGGGGGAAAAAGTAGTATTCTTGGGTAGTGAAGGTTGCCTATAAAGCACACAGGATTTATTGATTGTTTAGAAATGTATTATAGAAAACGAGGGCTGGAAGGGACCTCAGGAGGTCGCATCTAGTCTACCCCCCTGCTCAAAGCAGGACCAGCCCCAACTACATCATCCCAGACAAGGCTTGGTCAAGCTGGGTCCTAAAAACGTCCAAGGATGGAGAGTCCACCACTTCTCTAGGTAACCCATTCCAGTGTTTCACCACTCTCCTCATGAGACAGCTTTTCCTAGTATCCAACCTAAACTTCCCTTGCTGCAGCTTGAGCCCGTTGCTCCTTGTTCTGTCATCTTTCACCACTGAGAACAGTCCAGCTCCATCCTCTTTGTAACCCCTGTTAGGGTAGTTAAAGGCTGCTATCAAATCCCCCTCAGCCTTCTCTTCTGCAGACTAAGTAAGCCCAGTTCCCTCAGCCTCCCTTCACAAATCATGTGTTTCCAGTCCCCTAACCACTTTTGATGCCCTCCACTGGACTCTTTCCAACTTGTCTGCATCCCTTCTGTAGTGGGGGCCTCACCAGTGCTGAATAGAGGGGAATAATCACTTCCTTTGCCCTGCTGGCAGCACTTCTACTAACAAAGCCCAGTATGCTATCAGCCTTTTTTGCAATAAGGGTACACTGCTGACTTTCATCCATCTCATCTGTCCTCTGTAACCTGCAGGTCCTTTTTTGCAAAGCTGCTGCTTGGCCAGTTGGTCCCGAGCATATAGAGGTGCATGGGATTCTTCAGTCCTAAGTAAAGAACTTTGCATTTGTCCCTGTTGAACCTCATGTGAGATTTTTATTTTATTTATTTATTTTGGTTCGATCCTCCAGTTTGTCTAGGTCATTCTGAATCCTAGCCCTACCCTCCACAGTATCCCCAACACCTCCTTCTCCACCCCCCCCCCCAACTCTTGGTGTCATCTGCAAACTTGCTGAGAGTGCACTCCATCCCATCTTCCAAATTGTTAATGAAGATATTAAACAAAACCAGCCCCAGGACCAGCCCCTGGGGCACTCCACTTGATACCAGCTGCCAGCTAGTCCTCGAGCCATTGATCACTACCTGTTGAGTCTGATGATCCAGCCAGATTTCTATCCACTTTAGTCCATTCATCCAGCCCATGCTTCCTTAGCTTCCTTGCAAGAATCCTGTGGGAGATGGTATCAAAAGCCTTGCTAAACTCCAGGTATTTCATGTCCACTACTCTCCCCGCAGCCAGTCATCTCATCATAGAAGGCAATTGGTTTGGTCAGACATGACTTGCCCCTGGTGAATCCACGTTAACTGTTCCTAATCGCCTTCTTCTCCTCCAAATGCTTAGAAATAGGTTCCTTGAGGACCTGCTCCATGATTTTTTCTGGGAATCAAGGTGAGGCTGACTAGTCTGTAGTTTTGGGTTACTTGCACTGGATTTGGTGGGAGGGACCAGGGTGGAAATACTTGATCAATTTAATTCACCTTTTTAGAAGATTCTCCTCCACAGGGTATTTTAATTTTCCAAAACCGACTAGGTTAAGGGTTCCTCGCTTTTAAATGGGGACCGTTTCACTTTGAGTATAAGGCCAAAAGGGATCACTTTGCTCATTAAATCTGTCCTTCTGCCTAATGCAAACAGATAGAGGTACCGTTGTTTTTAAATCTCCTGCAATGGTTTTCCCCAGGTACGTATTTATGTAGATAACACCTCAAATCTGTCCCAGTCGTACCAAACATCTACATTATACAGCAAAGATGTCGGCACTTCGTACAACAAAAAGAAAATGGATTAAATTCCCCACACAATTAACAGAGTACTCT